TGACTCGAACATGTTTATCGATGAGGTTGATGATAGTTGAGTAGTGGAGACTTCTCGGCCATGAAGCCGCGGCCTGCGAGTTTCTGTCTTTCTAGGTAATGAATGGGTAGCTTGATATCTTAGCAAAAACAGTGTTTTGTCGAGATCCCAATAAGAACTGAATCAGCCACATGCATGAAGTATACTATCACATATATGGCACATTTTTCAAGTCTATGTGATCGAAAGATTTGTGTGTCTTCATGTTGTTACATCATCTAAAAGATCCTTAAGAAAAATTAGGTAAATATGTAAATAATTTTATGTAAATAATTTTATGTAAATTAATTTAGAAATGAACATATGTTATCGATCGTTGTAAGGAGTAAGATTTTGGTGAGTAGAAGAACTCACTTCCTTTGTAATTAAGCTCATGAGAACTAAACGTAGTAAGGTGTTAGGCAAGGTCCATATGAAGTCATAAATATCACAAATCGGCTAACCTAAACCTCAAGTAAATATACATAATTTCAAAATGAGTAAGTAAATATACATAATTTCAAAATGAGTTATAGTAAACAATTAAACATATTAAAAAGTCGACTAACAATATGTTCACTAAAACCAGAAGTTCCAGTATATATACAACGGTTAATTTGGTGGTTGTAATAATATTATTTCATTATTTAATTTTATGCTGAGGATTAGAAGAACTTAAACATGATGGGACCATGGTGACATGGTGTATTATTGTGCATGGAGAAAAGGATGCCAAATGATTTTATGTTATTCACTCACCTAATCCTTGAATTATTGACTTATTGTTCAACTTTAAAGATTAAACTTTTTAATATTCCAAAATAAGAACAATACAATATAACTCGGTTAGCATGTACATGTGTTCATCGTGAAATGTGAATGTAACGAAAAATATTATAATAAATTTCTTCCTTTCTTAAAGCATGTGCTAATAATAGCTTAGTCAAATAAATAATTATATAAGTATTTTTTTTATTCGTCTAACAAATGAATTGGTTAAGCAGACAAGAATCATTTTTTGGAGATTGAGATTCGACATCGCTTGCATTTCACCCTTTTTTTTTACATATGACAAACACAAAATAAAAATAGAGACAACACACAATTTTTTTGTTTTTATAAATTAGCCACGGATCACGTTATACAGATACGCAAATCTCAAAAACAATAATTAAACTAGGACAAGTAGTGTAATTTGATCATTGAGATTACAAATCTTACATTCATGATCTGGCACCCCCTGAATTTAAATGATTTTAGTTATTTTCTATAAAAAAATGTATAAAAACTCAAAATTTATATATTAAAAAACCACTCTTAATATCTCAATTTTTTTTCCAAGAAAATATAAACACTTGTTTTAATAAAATACATAACTAATTTTTTTTAGATGTTACGTAGAATAAATTTTAAAATTGGTAAAATAAATTTAAAAACTAAAAACACAAAATAAAATAATAAAAACGTTGAAAAGATATTGTAAAAGTACATTTCAACTGAGCTCAGCTCACAGTTCCACTCTTCGGTTTGGTTTTTATAACTGAAGCAATCAGTTAAAAACTCAGCCAATCAATCAATAGAGATTATATCACACGCGCCAACAACAACCGTACGATCTCACTCACTTCTGGTCTTAACTCTTACCGCGTCGATCCAACAGTCTATAGGGTTAAATCGGGATGGGGCGAGTTCATCGAAGCTTCTCTCTCTCTTACAACCGTCCACGTGCACCAATCAAAACACTCCACCTCACATCCCTAACATTAAAATTACCCATTCACCCTCAGTATCAGCTCACACATATAAGAATCGCAGACGCACTTCATTTTTTCTCCACTACGAAGACTTCTCTCCTTTATCTCTCTCTCTAACCTCTCTCTCTCTCTCTCTCTTACTAGAAACGTTTTTTTTACCGGTCACCGGTTTATGGAATGACTGATTACCGGCTACAACCGACGATGAATCTGTGGACCACCGACGACAACGCTTCTATGATGGAAGCTTTCATGAGCTCATCTGATATCTCAAACTTATGGACACCGGCGGCAACGACGACAACAACCACGACGACTACCTCAGCTCCGACGACGGCGATGGATATTCCGGTACCGGCGGGATTTAACCAGGAGACGCTTCAGCAACGTTTACAAGCTTTGATTGAAGGGACACACGAAGGCTGGACCTACGCTATATTCTGGCAGCCGTCGTACGATTTCTCCGGCGCCTCCGTGTTAGGATGGGGAGATGGTTATTACAAAGGTGATGAGGATAAAGCGAAGCCGAGACAGAGATCGAGTTCGCCGCCGTATTCTACTCCGGCGGATCAGGAGTACCGGAAAAAGGTGTTGCGTGAGCTTAACTCGTTGATCTCCGGCGGTGTTGCTCCGTCGGATGAAGCGGTTGATGAGGAGGTTACGGATACGGAGTGGTTTTTCTTGGTTTCGATGACTCAGAGCTTCGCTTGCGGCGCGGGTTTGGCGGGAAGAGCGTTTTCGACGGGTAACGCGGTTTGGGTTTCCGGGTCGGATCAGTTATCCGGGTCGGGTTGTGAGCGGGCGAAGCAAGGTGGTGTTTTCGGGATGCAGACTATTGCGTGTATTCCTTCGGCGAACGGAGTTGTTGAAGTCGGGTCAACGGAGCGGATCCGACAGACTTCGGATCTTGTTAACAAGGTTCGTGTTCTATTCAATTTCGATGGCGGAGCTGGTGATTTATCGGGTCTTAACTGGAATCTTGACCCGGATCAAGGCGAAAACGACCCGTCCATGTGGATTAACGACCCGATTACCGCACCTGGGTCTAACGAACCGGGTAACGGAGCTCCGAGTTCTAGCTCCCAGCTTTTTTCAAAATCTATACAGTTCGAAAACGGTAGCTCAAGCACAATAACCGAAACCCCGAACCCGGATCCGACTCCGAGTCCGGTTCATTCCCAGACCCAGAATCTGAAATTCAATAACAATTTCTCCCGAGAACTTAACTTCTCAACTTCGAGTTCAACTCTGGTGAAACCAAGATCCGGCGAGATATTAAACTTCGGCGACGAGGGTAAACGGAGCTCCATAAACCCGGATCCGAGTTCTTACTCGGGTCAAACACAATTCGAAAACAAAAGAAAGAAGTCTACACTACTAAACGAAGACAAAGTCTTATCATTCGGAGACAAAACCGCCGGAGAGTCAGACCACTCCGACGTCGAAGCCTCCGTCGTGAAAGAAGTAGCGGTAGAGAAACGTCCCAAGAAACGAGGGAGAAAGCCAGCGAACGGTAGAGAAGAGCCACTAAACCACGTCGAAGCAGAGAGACAAAGACGCGAGAAACTAAACCAGCGTTTCTACGCGTTACGAGCGGTCGTACCAAACGTTTCGAAGATGGACAAAGCTTCTTTACTCGGCGACGCCATCGCTTACATCAACGAGCTGAAAGCAAAAGTTGTGAAAACAGAGTCGGAGAAGGTAATGATCAAGAACCAGCTCGAGGAAGTGAAAATGGAGCTCGCCGGGAGAAAAGCTAGCGCCGGTTGTGGAGATATGTCGTCGTCGTCGTGTTCTTCGATTAAACCGGTGGGGATGGAGATTGAAGTGAAGATCATTGGTTGGGACGCGATGATTAGAGTTGAGTCGAGTAAGAGGAATCATCCCGCGGCGAGGTTGATGTCAGCGTTGATGGATTTGGAGCTTGAGGTGAACCACGCGAGCATGTCGGTGGTTAACGATTTGATGATTCAACAAGCGACGGTGAAGATGGGGTTTAGGATCTATACGCAGGAACAGCTCCGAGCTAGTTTGATTTCAAAAATCAGTTAAAAGGGTTTGTTGTGGGAGTTTAGAAAGTTATGGGGTCAAATCATAATTAGTTCGTTTTAGTGGGTTCAGTAATTTTGTAGATTTTAGTTTCTCTTTTTTTTTGGTAACTTGAAAATAGAGCAACAAGTAACTTTTGCTCTATTCTTGAGTCTTTGTATCGTTGTTGTTGTATCTTCCCCCAATGTGTAAACGTGTATATATATGATCATATGAGTAATTATGTGTTAGATACTACAAAATGTTCCATGAGAGACACAAATCTTATGTAAGTTGAGTCGTAAGGGAGTCATTAGCTTAAATAAGCTAAAGTTGCAAAGGAGAGAGACGTTATTGACCATATCAACTTTAGTGCTTCAAGACAAAGGAGGAGTCGATGATCACATACTCAATTTGTGATAAAAGAATTAGAAGATGTTTCATTTCATTTGTTTTTGTATTCAAACTCCATCTGATGTTTGTTTTGATTGAATACGTTGGAGTGGATCGATCATGTTGTTTCTTTCATACCAAGAAACATCATCGACTCGCCAAAAGAGGAGAGTTTTTCATGTTTAGCAGCAAGAAGAGTGGTTAAAGTTATGATTTGGCATGTGAGTGAGAAAGATATTTTAGGAAAAGGGGTCTTCAAACCATCCATTTGATGATTAAATTCGAACTCTTACTCGGTTTTACGAAGAAGAGTTTGAAACAAAGTTTGGTTCAAGGTAAGAAGTTGGGACAATGTTATATCTGTTTCTTCTGCTGATTCTCTCAGATGTACACTACAAGAAACTCTCTTTTACATATTGAACTTATTAAGTTTCTACAAACCTCTAGTTCGATGGAATCATACTATGTAGCTTGTATAGAGATTATAAACGAATACCGTTTATGTATTGTTTAAACATCAAAGGACACATACCGATTCTCGAATGAGAGACTTCGGTATGAGAGCTATGGACTAACACGAATGCTGAGTACAGCGCACGAGGCAATGAGCAAATGAAGATTACTTGATCCAAGAAATTTGCAGCTTGTCGTAAGCATTGTACTCAAGAAATTTGGGGTTTATATAAATATCTGCAGTATTCAATTTACTCGGATATCATCATCGTAACACTTATGTTTACTTTCACACTTCCTCTCTTCAAACCAGTGTGATAATGTTTTCTGTTGGCTAATTAATAAGACACAACATACATTAAACCTTCGTATACTAACATAGATCTTTCGAATACACACACTCACAGTCACAGACAAGAAACAGCAAATCACTTACATTTTGCTTGATCATATCCACTTTTACAAAAATAGAAATATTTGAAAAGATTTGTAATCTCAAATCTGCTTTGTTTGTGCATTCTCTTCCTCATACCACCTTGCAAAGATCCTCTACCAACCTTAACAATCCTCAAGATCAAGTTTTCTTCTTTCTAGCGTCAGCTTTCCAATCTCTTTGATGCCGCCTTATCTTCCTTATAACCAACTCACAAGAACCATCTTGAGCCTTGTTGACAATCAAATGAGCTCTTCTAGCTTCTTTTTTCCAATCTCTATCGCAATAAACACGCCGCACAAAGTTGTCTACATAACCACCACTACCTCCATTAAACTCTAGCTCCTCTTCTTCTCCTTCTTCATGCTGTCCCATTGTCTCAAATGAAAGACTCTCATCGATACCCGCTTCTTCCCTCATCCGTTTCCTCGCTCTATACCTACGTTGTCTTTCTCGGTTCTTCATTCGACGAATCATCACTTCATCTTTGTCTATTAACCCTTCTTTATCATCAATGCTCAAACCATCTTGCATCCCACCATAACTCATCTCTCCTTCAATTCCCATTTACTCAAAACCCTGACAAACAAACAAAACAAAAAAAAAACTGATTTCAGGATTCCCTAAAGGTAATACATTTAAAGGACGAATCTTAACTCTATAAAACCATAAGAGACTAAACCCAAAAGCTAAAAATGTAAGCTTTTTTCACTTAGAGGAAGACCGAATTAGAGATTCGATAAAATTAGCAAATCGACACAGTCAATAAAAAGAAAGATTGTGTTTTTTTGTTCTTTCTATGCTTTCAAGTTCGATACTCAAAGACCCTTCTATTCAGATTCATTCGATGATTGGGTTAAGAGGCTATCAGGCTAAAACCCCTAAATAACCAATCTCAGTGATTGATCTACGAGAAGAGAAATCATATAAAACGAATACCAAAATACATAAAGGTCATACCTTTTCAACTGTTATGTGCCTCGCTGAACAACTATTTGGTTCCTCTGCTTGCTCGAGTGCTTTTGGCCTTTGAAGCTTATGAACGAGAAAGAGAGAGATTGTTTTATGTTCTTCTGTCTAAAAAATTGATGAAAAAAGACGCATCTTTCATCTTTTCTCCTAGAAAGATTTGACTGTGACATTATACGAAGTTAGATAATATATTTCTGAACTAACCTAACAAATTGGGGTGGTGGCGCAGTTGGCTAGCGCGTAGGTCTCATAGCTAAAGTTGAGTGATCCTGAGGTCGAGAGTTCGAGCCTCTCTCACCCCATTTCTTTTTTATTTATTTTATAAACCATCCAAAACTCTCTCATTTGATCAAAAAAATTAGGTCTAGTTCTTCAATTCGTCTTTCTCTTTGCACTGAGTTTGCTGGAAAGCTGAGAGATCTGACCTGACCTGAATCGTGTGGATTCGAAAGGATTGAATTTGCTTGCATTTCTTCTCATCGTTAATTTTTTTTTTGTCTGATCGATTTGGTGAACAGTAACGTAATTTGATAGTAGTGCGTTCGATTTCAGAGATGCTTATGAGTTGGGAACACTTACTGATTTAGTTTTAGTTGCATAATGGGATAAAGGGTGATCTCTAGATTCACTAATTTAAGGTTCAAGCTGTGAAAGTTTGAGTCTTTGGCTGATTTAAGATAGTCTCCGATCCTATTTGTGTTGCTTGCTCTGTTTCCCAGCTTGAGGTTCAGATATTGTGGTTTTAGATCAGAATTTGTGAGTTTAGTCTGTTTGTGAGATGGATAGGCCTTGGCATAATGATCAGTTAGGTGTGAATAAGATTGGGAGGAACATAAAGAAGAGTCCTTTACACCAACCCAATTTCTCAAATGGTATTGGTATTGCTTCCGCAAGGCCTCAACAGCTAGCGAGTTCTCCATCGCGTGAGAGTTTACCTCATCCTCCTCAGAATCCACTAAAGCCTCGGCAGAATCCTCGGTTGCAGAAGATTAGACAAGCGGCTCTAACACAGATGAACCGGCCCCAAGTTCCTCCTCAGTTTATGGCTCAACCAAGTAATGAGTTAGTTACTAGACAACCAATGCGACCTTCTATGAATCACGGTTCACAACCAATGAAGGGTAATGGAGAACAATTGTTGTCAAATACAGCTGAATCCCCTGTCTCGGTGTATGTGCGTTATCTTCAAAGCTCACTAGGAGATTCAGGACCTTATGGAAACCAAGCACAGCCGCCTCATGAATATCAACCACAGCCACAGGCTCACCCCTTACCACCGCAATCGCATAATCATCATTCGCCACGGTTCAATGGTTCTGCACGAGACAAGCCCATTTTACCCACTCCTAGGTTCAACAGTCCACCTCAACAAATGCGTAATAATAGTATTCCTTCTCCTCGATTCAACGGGCGCGGGATATTACCCTCTCCTAGGTCCGAATATCGTCTACAGTCTCCAACCGATTTCCAAAATTTTCACTCCCCTAGGTCACCTTATCCGCTGTTATCACCAGGAGTTCAGTATCCTCCTCCACTTACACCAAGAGGCTCCACATTCTCATCAATGGATCAACCTGGAATTCTTGGTCCAGGGACTATTCCTCAACCCCCTGCATCTCCTGGTCTTGTATTTCCATCATCACCGTATGGGCTTCTACCAATCTCTAGTCTAAGATATAGATAACTCTTCTTCACTCTATACTCTTTAGGTTAATGTCCTTGTAGTAAGAAAGGTGAAATCTTTCGGAGCTCATAAAAGAGAGGAGAAACAGAGCTGTAAGAACAATATTGTTCTCTATATGCTTAATAGTTTTTATACAGTTTCCATACAAGTCACTTGGTCAAAATTCTTCATCTCGAAATATCGCTCAAGCTCTTTACATTCGTACAATGAAATGAGCTAAAAATAGCAATCCCACATCTTCCACTGGACCTAGTGTTTGCACCACGTCAGTGTTAACTACTTTGTCACAACGTTATGTAATTCATATCATGAAAGATACTCATATATAATTTTTTTTTTAAAAGATAAGATTTTTCGGTGGTTAAAATTTATATAGAAAGTAAAAATTTAGGTGTTAGATGGAAACAAATTCTTGTATTGAAAATAATATCATTTGCAACAAAAGATATTAAATGCAGAAAATCCTATAAAATAAGAGTTTTAGGGGTTAGAATGAATCTACAAATATTCTACATGATATCTCTATATTTTGTATGAAAAGTGTTTTACTAAAAAAATCTAATAATACAAAAATAGGAGAAAATGTTAAAAAAGAGAGAAAAATAGAAATTTATTTTTATAAAAATAAGTAGATACTTTTATAATTTCATTATTAGCACTATATTTTATATCTATATATATATATATATGTCATGAAAATACATTGCATTGAAATAGAAAACATCCATGTATTAAATATGAATGCATCTTTATTATTGAAATAAATCAAGAACTAAAGTGCAAAAAATCAGCAAAATTTAAAATCTTATCAATTATGATGTATATGATAAAGGAGATATTTGTATATATGTACATACATGTGTGAAATTCTTAGTGACAGTTTCTTCTTGTTGTCAAAAAAAACAAAGTATGTATCATCATCATCATCATCGACCACAAAATGATTACTCGAGAGTGAATACTACTGGCAAGACTATGCGGAAGAGTAACTTCGACCAACTAAACACGGTTCCTCATCCACCACAACCTCAACAGCAGCAACAGACACAAGTATACATCATAGACAAGAACGACTTCAAAAGCCTTGTTCAGCAACTTACGAGTCCTCCTCAATCATTTGAGCGTTTAGTACCTCAAATCCATCACAAGACTATACAAGATCCGACCTTATCGGTTCCTCCAAGCGCGGCTCAAGAAGATCCTGATGTCTCATTGTATATGCGTTATCTTCAAAGCTGCTTACTCGAAGAATCATCAGGTTCTAATGTAGAACAGTTCCAACAACCGTTTGATAATAAGTATGAATCTCACGTGATGGTTCATTCTCCTACGGAAGTTATGTCACAGTGCAATGGCTATGAACAGGTCGTTGTACCGAATAGTACTTCGTGGTTCAATGGTTCACCACAAAATATGCATGGTGATGGTGCTTCCTCATTGCAATCAACAGGAGTTGATTATTCACAACCAAACTTCACATACTCGTCTATGACTCAACCTGGTGGAGGGTTTGGTCCGGATCTTGATGGTATTAGTCTTGATGAGATTTTCGATGTCCCATACGAACTAAACTGATGATATATTTTTGTTCAATCGTGAATAATAAATTTAAAATATTGTGTTTCTTGATTTCAAATATCATAAAAATCTCTTTTCATGCATCTGTTATTAAGATTTAAGACTAGTTTGTCAACAAAACTGGATACAAGCTGGCTTACAAAGAGTTAAACACACAAATCAGTTCCAAGATTCTTGGTTTGATGAAATTGAAACACAGTTCGAAAAAAATATCTCATAAGTCTTGAATACGAACTTGTGGAAACTACCAAACTTGGTGGTACTAATCTAGATTCTAGAATCAGAAGCAAGAGACTGAAGAAACAGAGAGAGGGTAAGAGAAGCTGTTAGCATACTGAAAGGAGAGTGTCTGACCAGGACCAAGAGGTTGACCATCGTTAACAAGACAATCATCATAGCAGAGTCGCCTGAATACTCTAGGGTTAACTAGTCTAACTGAGCTGAACCAGCCACAACTGACGTGGATCTCTGCGATATTGCAATCCGAGACACAGGCGTTGAAGATCTCAACTGTAAATGCAGGAACTCCACTTGGAAGTGGGTTTGTCGAGCCTTGAAAGAGTACAATATCATCTTTTGAGCAGTCTTGTCCGATCCTGTTTGTCCCATCTCCATTGTCTGAAAATGTAAATGAAGATGTGTGTTTTTAGGTTCTTGTTACATAAAAACAGATTGATATGTGACGCCAACAGTGCTATGATGAAATATGCTCGAAATGTCTCAAAGATGTGTCTTTAGGGTTATCTAAAACATATAAAGAGAGACTAATCTTAACGGATATGTGAAGCCAACAGTGTCTATGAGGAAATGTAATGAACAAAGTCAGAAAATGTGCTTTTTTGGGTTCCTAAAACATAAAAACAGAGAATAATCTTAATGGATATGTAAGGAAATATGATCAACACTGTCAGAAAATGAGTCTTTAGGGTTCTTATAACAGAGACTGATCATAACGGATATATTAAGCCAAACAGTGTCTATGAAGTACCAGGAGAGAGCAGAAGCTTTCTAGAAAGGACTGTGCGGTTTTTGGAAATGGAAATGAAGCTTCTTGTATTGAGAGCAGTGGCTCTTCTATCATTAGAACCTTCCAACTCATTGGCCTTCGCAGCTGCAAGATCGACAAGATTCGAATATAGAATTGGTGTATGTTAGAAGAAGAAAAGAGGAAGAGAGAGATACTATAGATAAGAACTTACACAGAGCAAGAGACAGCAACATTCCAAGACTTATGAAGAAGATCCAGTGTTGGAAATGGTAGTAGATGTGTTCCATTCTCTTACACTGGCCAAAAGATGTGGAAGGGTTCTTCTCTGTTCTAGTAGATGCTTGCAGATGTTTTTATACAGGTATTATAACACACATGCATGGTATGGTAGAGAGTTGAGAAGAAGAAACTTAAGAAATGGAAGTTTGTGATTGCATGCATGTCTGCTGCTTCCATTAAGGTATGGACCAATACCCTGTTTCATCTCAAAATCTATCCACCTCGAGATTCAGAGTAAAACATAACTATGACCAAATTTTTGTTTTGAAAAAAAGGGCTGACAAAAAGTAGTTGAGTCATTAATTAAACAGAAGCGTAATAAAATCCCTATCAGCAATTGAGAGTTATCATCATAAGTCACTTCATTTCGAAACCAACTTTGTTTACAAGAACTAGAGAATCATACCAAGTCAACCAAGTTTCAACATTTTCCAAAAATCTTTAGTAGTTAGAGAGAGCAAGAGCAATATAGCAGGTATAGAACATGGGTACTAAGTGATATTCTCTAGGCTTAATCCAAAGAGGAGTTACTGTAGAGTAAGAAAAAAAGCTTGTTAGAAAAGGTTTAGAGAGATGTACATAAGCTTTGGTTTGTTTAGCTTATCACAAATTCTATCTACTTTTTCCAACAATAATCATCAAAATACATTAGAGAATACATGAAATTTCAAACTCAACAACAACAAGATAAGGCCTAACACAAAGCTTTTGACTATCTACAACCATCTATGTATTTGGAGAAGTTTCAAGATAAGGTCAGATACCCCAGACTTTGGTTGATCACTTGGTCTTCAACAACATGAAGTGGGAGTAAAGTCTCACTTAAAGCCTCAAATATTTCATGCTTTAAAAGAATCTATTCCTACTAAAACCTGGTGTATGTTGTAAGTTGTAACATTAGCCAACACTATGTAGAAAGAGAGACTACAAAACAAATCCCAAGCATCTTCCATTTTACTAGCCTTCCAATGTTCAAGGCTGGGTAAGGTGGAAGATGCATGGGATTTATTTAGTTATTACCCCCCTTCACTTCAGGAAAAGGGCTCACTTTCTCAAATCCCTAACCCAAGAAGACAGTGTACCACCATAAGGTATACTAAAGCCAAGAATCCACTTCACTCTTTTGCATATCACTAATGTTTTCTCTAGCTTACCATTTATCACATTGACTATGATCTAGTATTAAGAGGAACCAGCCAACTTAAAGAGTCTCTATTCTCATTCTTTACTCTCTATAAAGAGCTCCAAAACACATTCATGAGGTTATTATAAGAATCTCAACAAAATGAAGCCTGAAAATCGCTAAACTCAATAAAGTTAAACCCGATTATCAAAATCTCTAAGGTAATTAATTACAAGCACGAAGAACAATTACAATATTTTACCACTTCCGATTTCTTCCTCCACGAATTCGTAATCGCCATGGAAGTGAGCAACTCTGTAAACGGCGTACGGCTAACCCTAAAGCAGATTCTTGAGTGGGAGGAGTGTTTTATAATTTATAGGCTAGATAACGAAACCGGTTAACGACGGTTTAAACTTCTCAGTCTGGTTTAGAAAATTAATTGAAAAATTGTTCACTAATTACGAAGGAGTTAGGTTCACCTTGGATACAGAGACATCTTTCGAAAGGCAAAATAAATATGTATATGCCAGTAACAGTTCCAATCCAGGTCCAAACTCAAAGCTACAAAACCATTACATGATGAAAGCTAGAAATAGGAAACAAGCTCATTGGACACTGATATCAGATCTTTGATACAATTTCAACGCATGTTCTCTCTCCTTCGGGCGTATCTGGTCCTGTCGTGGTACTTTGGTTTATCGGAGCTTCTCTGTGTCGTTAGCTCCGTGATCTTTCTCTGTCTCTCTGGAGGACGTTGGACTATTTCTCCATTGACAAATAGCTCAGCTGCAATACACGTACAAGAAGAGTTTGATTACAAAGTGAGCTTTTCTTAAGTTATAACTTTAAAGCGGTTTCATCTCTGTTAAAAAAACATAGAAATACCATCAAACAGAGACTCTAGTTTAAAGATTTAAACCTCAAGCTTCACAACCAGCTTCATCTATCAAACAAACAGCTACTCTTTCAAACAAATAGACTGAAGCTCATTGTCAAATATGACATATAAGGTTGAAATCATAATGTTATACAGTGAACACACACACAGCTGGCACAAAACATGATTGTGATGTCTAGTTCAACAGTTCATGTAAAACACAAAGGTGTCACAAAACAAGATTCTGATATCTAGTTGACTGCAGGAACTGAATCCTACTTCCACAGTGTTAACATTAACAAAATCAGATTTTGACGCTAAAACCAAGTCCTAGTTCTAAGGTTAGTCTTGGTAGATTACGACACAGGACAGAACACCTAACACCTATTTGTTTTAACATAAACTCACCTCCGTAATCTTGGTGTTCTTGATCAACATAAGAATCTGGTAGAATGAAGAGAACACCAGGAAGTCCTGAAGAAACACACACAAGAATCAAGAACCATTCATAAACATCGCTCCTGTTCTAAACACAGATCAAAACGTGTTCCAGAAACATTACCTTCGAGTTTATTTGACGTCTCCTCATCGATCGCACAGCCAAATCCAAAATACCTTTCACACGATACATTATATATCTTCTTCTTAGCTTCTTCCTCACTAATAAAACAACAACAAATCATTACGTTAACCTCAAATGCTTCTTCTTCTTCATCACCATATACTAAAACCATTGAAAATTGAAAAAAGCCCTAACCTTCCGAGAATTTTAGCTAGGGTTTGAACATAGCAATCAATCATTTGCTGCTTCGTCGCGTTTTCGCCTCCAGGTTTGTCCATTACAATCAGCCAATGCTCATAATCGCAGCCGGGAAACAACGGCGCCATCTCAGTGGGTGGTCGATCGCTGAAATTCGAACCGGATTTGAGCGGAGAGTACGATCCACCGGACCGGTCCATGCGAGTTCGAACAGTAGTGAAACGGTTCAAGGAGGAGACGAATCCGACGGCATGGGAGATCGCTGCGGTTGAACGACGGGAGAGGAGGTAAGAAGGAGAAGGAGCGGTGGCTCCGGAGGTGGAGAAGAAGCGTTTGGTGATGCGTGACGCGGTGGAGCGAGCTAGGGTTTTCGCCATTGAAGTGAAGCTCTAAGTGAAGGTCAGAGTCTCAGAAATGACTAGACTAGGGTTTAAGCGAAGAACCACCGAGATGATAAATCAGATGGTTCTTTACTTAATGGGCCTATGGGCCCAACTTTGTAACAAAAAGATTATATGTGATTTCTTCCAAAACAGCATATTATTAGATTTCATTTTTTTCCTATATAGAACATGTCTTTTTTGTAAAGCACACTATTTTGACAATTAACATCTTATTCAGTTTAATATAAGTATATATAACATATGAAGTTTATATGTTACATGCTATTTTTAAAAATTTCACGAAAAAATGATCTCATTCCTTCCTTATATGAGTTATATCCAACACTAAATCAGAAAGATGATGATTATGTTTATGTCTTGTTATTTCATCTAAAATGTGGATCCATAACTATTTTCGCATTAAAAATAGTTGTATAGCTAGTTTGTTAATTTTCTCCATAATTTGGCTATCTACTAATATTACCAAAAAAAAGTGATAGAGCTTTTATTGAATTGAAAAAATCAAGCGGACGCCTTTTTGACAAAATAAAAACTTAGAAAAGAGGGAAAAGAGGGGTTTAAAACTTTGAAATCTTCATATTTTGCATTAAAGCAGGGCCAAACATCTGGTTTTTCAATCATCTTGGTATAGTTCATAACTATTACTATTTTTTTACTTCTATTGAAATGTATATAATGTATCGTGTGAAAGGTATAGTTAAACCAAATATATAATGTATCGTGTGAAAGGTATTTTGGATTTGGCTGTGAGATCGATGAGGAGACATCATCAAGCTCTTACAATGATATCTTAATTGAGTTTTCAACCCATGCAAGAACATTAAAAAATAAAACAAAGAAAATTAAACAAAAAGTCAATTCACAATTTATATTATTTCAGTTACAATTTAGTAGTAAAGTGTGGATTTAAAGTATGAATTAAAGTATATAATTAAGTGTGTTAGATATATAGTTTAATTAAAATAAATATTAGAATTTAGAAAGTAAATACTAAATGGACCAATAAGGAGAGAGTGAAACCTTACTTATATATATACACTAGGTAATGCCCCGCGCATATGCGCGGATTGTTGTATATTTATTTAATTATTTTAATTTATTTATAACTTATAAAAATAGATTAAATAAATTTTAATGCTTATGAAATTTTTACATTTTATTTATTTAAATCATACAATAGAAGCATACATCCATATCTTTTGAATTTATTCGTTGATTAATTGTTCAATTAATCAATTTTGATAGTAATTTTCTTTAGTACGTTTAAGTATTTTTTGATAAAACAATAATATTTTTAATGATAAAAATAGGAATGATATTGGGAGAATTTTAAAAATACCCCTTTAAAAATACCACTTTTTAAATTTACCACCTTTTCAAACTTTATCAAAACAACCACTAAAAATGTTGAAATTTATCCAAATATGTGTGTAAACTTATAAATATACACAAAAATTACCTTTATTTGTGTATAAAATTTTATTTATTTCAATGTCTTACAAAATGGTTTGAATATAACAAAAAATTATTTTGTTAAAATAATTACATACTTTGAAAATAAAATAAATATACAGACATGAATATGTGAGAAAGAAAACATATAAAGTAAAACAATGAAAATAGTTTATTTAACTTGATTTTCTTATGGTGCGATGGTCAGAAATCAATATTTTTTAATCCCATCGATAAAGTAATTTCCTTATAGCCATAAAATATTATTATACATATGTATTATACATTTAATAGTATAAAAACAATGAAAAAATGAAGAAGTACATAAAATAAAGAAGAAATATAATTGAAAACAAAAGTTTTAACCAAATATATAATCAAGCTCTTACAATGATATCTTAATTGAGCTTTCAACCCATGCAAGAACATTAAAAATTAAACAAAGAAAATATTGAGAATATCAGATATGGTGGAGGAGGATGTAAAAATGAGTATTTATAGGATAAAATATGATGTAAGTTACAATTCTAAAATAATTAAATCAGAAGAGTTATAATTATATTTTATAGTGGGTTAATTGAAGTTAAATGGAGGAAACAAATAGTCAATTGAAAGGTTATATAATTTAAGTTACAATTTAATAGTAAAGTGTGGATTTCAAGTATGAATTAAAGTATATGACTAAATGTGTTAGATATTTGGTTTTATTAAAAATAAATATTATAATTAAAAAATAAATGCTAAATGGACCAATAAGGAGAGAGTGAAACCTTAAAAATTCCCAAAAAATAATTTTATTTTTAATCTCTTTTTATATTCCTCTTAATTTAAGTTATATTTCTAGGTTTAATTATATTTTTCATCCTTGTAGTATATATAATAGATAGAAAATGGAATATCAAATTGTTTTTTAGATAGGAAATCAAGTATAAAATTCAAAGTTAAAACAAATTATAATGTTCTTTGTATTATTACATGTTGAATCACAAACTAAATATAAGGATCATTATTCTTACAAGAATGTCTTACAAATTGGTTTGATAATTATATAACAAAAAGTTTATTTTGTTAAAAAATTACATACTTTTGAAAATATATTAAATATACATGAATATGTGAGAAAGAAACAAACATCCAAAGTAAAAGAATGAAGATGGTTTGTTTAGCTTGATTATCTTATGGTGCGATTGTCGGAAATTAATATTTTTG